GCCTCAACGGGCTGGCGGCGCAGCGCGCACGCGCGGCGCGGGACTCGCTGTCGCTGAGCAGCGGGTCGGGCTGCGGCTCGGCCTCCGCCTCGGACGACGACGCAGATGACGTGGACGGGGCGCTGGCGGCCGAGAGTACGCCTTTCCTCGGCCTGCGAGCGGCGCACGACGCGCTGCGCTCGGACTCGCCGCCGCTGTGCCCGGCGGCAGACAGCAGGACTTACTACTCGCTGGACAGCCACAGCACCAGGGCCAGCAGCAGACACAGCCGCGGGCCGCCCCCGCGGGCCAAGCAGGACTCGGCCCCCCTCTAGGGCCCCTTCGCCGCCCTCCCCACTGTCTCTAAGGAGAGCAGAGACCACCAACTGGAGAGAGAAAAGGAGGGAAAAAAGAAATAAAAATATTTTTATTTTCTATAAAAGGAAAAAAGTATAACAAAATGTTTTATTTTCATTTTAGCAAAAATTGTCTTATACTAGCTAACGGCAAAGACGTTTTTATAGGGAAACTATTTATATGTAACATCCTGATTTACAGCTTCGGGGGGAAAAAAAAGAAACAACAACAACAAAAAAAGAGAGATGGGCCAATTTTTTGACTCTTTAATAGAAACCTATATTGTGGTGCCTTTTGCTGTATGCTAATCTGGGGCTCCTGGAGAGTTGTCTGGGGTGCAGGGTGGGTCTGTAGGATCCTGAACTGGTGGGGGGTGAGAAAAAGCAGGGACAGGAGAGGCTGTGAGGTTCCAGTGGCCCTGACAGTGGTGGACAATTAGAAGGAAAACGAAGACAAAAAGGAGCTTTTGTCTTCCCCAAGCCAGATCTGGAGTCTGGGGCAGAGAGGGCAGGGATCCTAGGCTTAGAGCTGGAATTGAAATCAGGTAACTTCCAGGGGGAGACACAGGCCCCCAACTACAGCAACCAGAATGGGGAGGGGTCCTCCCCGCTCCTCTCAGCTGCTAAGGGAAGGAGGTCTCCCCACCAGCCCCCGGCCCAGGGAGGGGGCAGCTCTACCAGGGGCCCAACATTCACGGCTCCTCCTCCCCTGCGGCCTCCAGGACATCCTCTGTCCTCTGCAGCACCTTCGTTTACAGGTCGTCTTTTCTATTTTATGCCTGCATGTCCTTTGCATTTCAGATTCTTTAGATTGAATGCATGGTCACGCTGGGACCCAGAAGAGTCACTTGGACAGTGTATTTGATTCCCCTTTTAGCAATAAAGTAACACCATTTCCTTCTCACAGCCCAGCCTCCAACCCACCTATGAAATTCCACCCCTCCAGTCTTCCCCCTCCCCAGCCTCCAAAACTGGATCCAATGCTAATTTGTCAAAAAGGCAATTGTCTAAAAGAAAAAAACCCAAACAGAAACAAATGGGAAATGTCCAAACACCTGACTGTTGACACTTGAACATTTTTATATTATAAATAAAATCAGAAATAACTCCTGTTTGACTGTGTGTGCCTAGCCGCAGGTGAGGAGGAAAGACAGAAAGAGGACCTGGGGTGAGGCGGAGGGGCATTAAAATGAAGATTGGAGACACCCATGAGAGTCCTTGGGTAGAAGTGACCCTCCCTCCAATCCGGCTGGCACTGGCTTCCAAGACCTGCTCCAGGCCTTCCTTCCAAATCACTTATAAGGTGTCCCCTCTGGCTGCTGTGGAATCTAGCCAGGGGACTGACGCAAATTATTCTGCTTCAGACCCTGGAGCTAGGAAGCTGGACTGAGGCAACAGTTTGCCACTCAGGTGGGTGAAGAGGGAAGGGTTGTGGAGTTGGCACTGGGGCAGCAGAGGCAAGGATGACCCTTGGGGCCTCAGGCGCATCACAGGCAAAGTCTGGACATGCAAGACAGCATAATGGGTACCCTCACTGCCAGAAAGACCGTAGCAGCTGCAGCTTCTAAGCCCACAGGGTATTGCTCTTTCCCCAACTTTATACCCCCTCAGAGCCAGGGCCTGTCTAAACCTATGCCTCAGATGATGGTCCATGATTTCAGGCCTGGAGGAGGCGGCTGGAGGTCTCAGGTGAAGAGGCTTTCTCGTCAGCCAGAAACCAGCAGGTTCCAGTCAGATTATGAAGTCTTCTCTCCAAATAGCTGAGGTGAATGTGTGCTCCTGTGTGTATACTTATGCACACATGTAAATGTCCCCAGCATGAATCTAGTCAGGAACTTACAGTGGGGAAGGACAGAGAGGCAGAAGATTGAGGGGCCTTAGGTACCAATAGGGCCTGAGTTTGAGTGCCAGTTCTGCTCCTCACTAGCTCCAGGCCACAGTTTACTTGATAAGGAAGCAAATGTATACCTCAGATGGCTACTGTGGAGATTACAGACAGATGGACCCACGACTGCTCCTGGCAGATGCCTAGAGGGTAACTACCTTAATGGTGGTGGTGACAGAATCCTGTTCCTTGCACAGGATTGCAAAATCTTGACAAAATCAGAGTGGCAAAAACTGGATGAGGAGATGAAGAGAGCCTAAACTTTTAGACTAAAGTTTCTAAATGCATTATGGAATGCTGAGGGAGCACCCATTACAAAGGAAAAGATAAAAGAAAAATTACCTAATGCTACACAAGCCTGTGGATCACAGACCTCTCCCAGGTCCCAGCCAATGACCTCATCAGATCCATCTGCTCTTAGAGTTTGCCATTGCCTAAAAGCTTTCTTAGGGGCAGTAATCCTTCTGTGTGACCTCTGACCTCTATGGGACCTCCAAATTAACTGCTATGACCTCTTGGTAAGCCCAGTGACATCAGGACCCAGGTTAGTGTCCTCCCTTGACCCCTCTAGGGGCTTTAAGTTGTTGCCTTCTAAATTTTCATTTAGAAGCCACCTCTGTGACTCAGATGAACTCATATCTGTATATTGACCCCATTTGGTTCCTTCATCCTCTGCTCTGGATTCTATGATATCTGTCAAGAGTCTAAGGCCAGAACCTAATGTAATTCCTCAGCTCTCTTCGTGTCACTTACCTATTCAATGACTTGGGACCTGGGAGCATGTTTGGCTAGAGAGACGTCTCTTGCCCACCCTGCCTCTCAGATTTCTGCCTGGAGGATGCTGAGTATATGGGCTTTCAGGAAACACTGCAGTCGTATTAAGCAACTTTCCTTCTACCACCCTGTACCCTGGAACACTCAGGATATCCAGGCAGCTTCCTAGGTCAAAGTTCTCCTCCCCACTACCCGATGCTTTCTTTTTAGTATCTTCCCAAACACCTCCCAGAGTCCTCAATGGCAATGGTAACTGCCTGCCCCTCTCTGTCCCCCATGACTGTGGGACATATGAGGACAAGGAGCTGGCCTTTTTCTCACCACTATCCCCAGTACCCAGCAACAGTGTGTGGCACATGGGTGACGCTCACTGAAGTAAGAAGATGAAGGCTGTCATCAAGACTTGGCCACTTGGAGTCCTGGTTCCTTCCCAGGACCTCCAGGTGGAGCAAACTGCTTACTGCATTTCATCAGGCTCTGGATTTGGATAGACTTAGAAAATGGGCATGTTAGAGACAAAGACTGGGGAAGGGGGCATGATGGTCTATTAGAATGCAGGAAGAAATATTTAGAACTTTGATTTAGATTTATTTTCATCTCATCTTTTTTTAAATTTCTATTTTTGTGTATGTTTATAATGTACATAATATTTTAGTACAGTAGTACATGTATATAATTTACAAATAAAGAATTATACAATTAAGGAAGTGAACTAAAAATGTCTTTACTGATGGGAGGCACAACTAGGGCTTGGGGAAGTGCACCCGTCTGAGGCTGTTCCAGCCCACACCTCTGCTGTCATCATCCCCCACCTTCATGAAGTAGATGGTGGGACGCCAGCCTGAAAATCAAAGGACCTTCAGGGAGCTGGAGAAAGTACAGAGAACTCTGATGCGGCTACATTGCTTTTCTGAATTCATTTAAATGAACATTTACTTCCCCTGAGCAAAACAAACGGACCAGATGGTTTGGTTATAAAACACGTTTCAGCTGACCCAATTAAAATAATCTAGATTTAAACCCCTATACCTCTCCACACACTCATAGATCCCTGCATCAGATGTGAATGGGCTTCCAATGTTAGGTCTTAGTTGCAACGCTGGCTTATCTTATTAACTAAATATGTCACCAAAGAGATCAAATTTCTGGACAAACTACAGTGATCTAAACAACAAGAAAGATTGGCTCATGATAGCCTCATCAAGGGGGTTATTCCCCCCAACCCACTTGTTGCTCTAAGGGATGCAGGGTTTAAAGGATGCCAACTTGTGATGAACAAATGTCTCTATTCTTCCCAGATATATCCTCAGATAAGCCTTCTGATTCACTAGAAAAATGAAAGAAATATCAATAATCAGCAACTTGTCATTCCACCTTTTCCAAAGACTAGGAATTAATGGTTTCAATAACCCTACTCCATCACCCAGCCTTGCTGACATGTGGTGCTTTCATTTCTGTGCAGTAGGTCTGTACAGAGGCCATCCCTGAAGCTCAGAGACCTGACAGTACAGGAAGATCCAAGTACAAACAAAGGTGTGTTCCCAACCCATTCGCCCTGCAGGATACCCTTGAAATGGAGGTCATACACACACACACACACACACACACACACACTCATCCTGCACAGTCCGTCCACAGGCATCAACAGGAAAAGCAGTTGTGAGTCACAAGTCAGCCAAAAGAGGAAAAGGCAAGAGCAGAGGAGAATCTTCATCTTCCCTTCCAGAGTGTCAGGAACATGGAGGGTCCCATGGCAGTCCTCCTCACTATTGGGCTGAGCTCCGAAATGGGCTTTTCCTTCATCTGATTTCATCCTCTGGTAGCAGTTCTAAAACCTTTAAATGAGATATATATATATATAATTTTATATATATACATATACATTTATGTCTGTATAAAAAAAAAGAGGCAGTAGAGGCCTCAGTGGATGGAAGGAGAGGTGGACACACACAAGTGGAGTCAGCTTGGCACTGAGTGAAGGTCAGGCCCCAGATTATTGTGATGTGAGGCAGGAGAACTGGGCCTATTGAAAAGGTTGCTGGGAAAAGGAAGGGGACAATGGTGCTGGTGGTCTGCAGACCCGCTGCTAGTCAACTGAGAGCAAAGAGAAGAAAGGGTAGGAGTCCAAGCTGAGACCCAGAGTTCAGACCTACCCTCACACACACAAGATGAGGAAGGAGCTTGATGAGAAGAGGTGCCTGGGGAAGCAACAGTGTCAGACTTCTCCAGTTGGGGGTGGTAGAGCATGCCCGGTCAGTAAAACCAGGCCACATGTGGTGAGAGCAGCCAGGGCCGGGAGAGGGTCTAGGCCAGAGATGGCCCAGGATGCAAGAAGACCAACACCATGAATGGCATCTCCATCTCCTTGACCACAGGACTCTCTGCACCCCTCTGATAGCAGCCTGTCAACTGCCTGGGGCTTGGTCCAAGCAACCCCTGACTGGAATTGTGCTCACTGACGCCCCCTGGGGACATCTGCCTGCCTTCAGGGCCTGTGTATCCACACCAGCTAAGTATCAGGCCCAGAGGCGTCCTTTGTTGCTTTGCTGCCAGTCACAGGCCCATGGCCTTGGCTGAGAGCAGGGCTTGAATGGGTCTTCCGGAGAGCAGGGTCATCCCCTTCTAGAGTAGCCAGCCGAGCCTCAATCCGCTCCAGGTCATCTGAGCCCACTTTGATTTTCACAGCTAGGAGGTGGATATAGGTCTCATAACGACTTTTCTGAGGAAAGAGCAGACAAAGGCCAAAAACAAAGTCAGAAGAGATGTACCTCTCTTCTGATGGGGGGCACGCACGCGGGGGGGGGTGTCTTATATAGCCATAACAAAACACTGCTTTCCTTAGTATGCAGAGAGCTCTCATAAGCAACAAAAAAGAAAGAAACCATCCAATAAAAAACAAAGTCCAAGCACAAAAATTCAGAAGTTTTTTTGTTTGTTTTGTTTTGGTTTGGTTTTTTTTTGGAGACAGGGTCTCATTGTGTAATCCTGACTGGCCTGGAATTCACTCTGTAAATCAGACTGGCCTGGAACTTACAGCAATCCTCCTGCCTCAGCCTCCAGAGTGCTGGGATTACAAGCCTATGTGCCACCATATCTGGCTTCTCACTTATAACTTGAAAATCCAAATAATGTTGATGATTTCTTTGTTGCACAAGCAACGAAGGTAAAAAATGGGCAAATGGGACTGCACTGACACTTAAAACTTCTGTACTTCAAAGAATAAGGAAGCTATATGTAATGGGCACAAAGTTTCCATTTGGGAAGATGAAGAAGTCTGAAATGTGGTTGCACATCAATGTGAATAGACGTTGCTGAGCTACACACTTGAAAAACAATTAAGATGAACTGGGTGTGATGGCGCACACCTTTAGTCCCAACACTCAGAGACTGAGGTAGACAAATCTCTGTGAGATTGAGGCCAGCCTGGTCTACATAGTGAGTTCCAGGTCAGCTGGGGCTACAGAAAAAAAAATTATTAAGATGCTACATTTTATTATATGTTGCCACAATTAAAATTTTTTTAAAATTTAAATCAAAATTAAAATAGTAAAGAGACAACAACTGTTAAACTTACGAGATTAGTGAAGATTGAAACATTTTGAATTGCTCAGTGTTGGTAAGGGGATCGAGAAATAGGTGCATTCATAAACTATTAAAGAGAAGCCACGTGTGGTTGTGTAAGCCTTTAATCCCAGCACTCAGGAAGAAGAGGCAGGCAGATCTCTGTGAGTTCAAGGCCAGCCTAGAACCAGACAAGTCAGGGATTCATAGTGAGACCCTGTCTCAAAAATAAATCAATAAACTTAAAGGGATTATGAGTTGCATTTAAGTAGGAGATCCAGCAGTGTGTGAGGACCTTGACTGTGAACTTCAAGTCCTCTCCACAGTCAGGGGCACTTTACTCCTCCAGTTCTATTGGACTTTGCTTCCTCTTCACTTGCATCAAATTGCCTACGGAAAGAGGCCCAGGATGCCACAGTTTCAGCCAATGGCCTGGTTAGGATCCTGAGTCCTGCATTTCTTTTTTTTAACATTTTATTTATTATTTTTATTTTTTTATGTGTATGAGTATATTGCCTGCATATATGTGAGTGCACCCATGTCATGCAATGCCTCAGAGGTCAGAAGAGGGTGTCAGATCCCCTGGAACTGGAGTTACAGTTGTTAGCTGCCATGTAGATGTTGGGATTTGAACCCAGGTTTTCTGCAAGAAGAGCCAGTGTTCTTAACTGCTGAGCCATCTCTCCAGCCCCTCATTAAAAACTTTTTAAGCACATAACTCAGTGTTTATTAACATGTGTTCCTACCCTGTGAAAGTCATTAAGAAGTTCTAATTCTGGAACATTTTTGTCTTCTCCAAAGGAAACCATGTGCCTATGAGCAGTGGCTCACCCAATTCTCATTACATACCACTCTTTTTAAAAGAATTATCTAGATATGTCATACATTTTGTATCAGTTGAATCACAGTTTGTATCCTTCAGTGTCTTGTTATGTGTTCGAGTATGTTGCCTGCATGTATGTGAGTGCACCCATGTCATGCAATGCCTCAGAGGTCAGAAGAGGGTTTCGGATTCCCCTTAACTGGAGTTAAGGACGGTTCATAGCCACCTTGTGGGTGCTGAGAATCGAACCTGGGTCCTCTGCCAGAGCAGCCAGTGCTCTTTACCACTGAGCCATCTCTCCAGCTGCGAGTCCTGCATTTCTTAACTATTTCATCCCAAGCAAGTGCTCTGGCTTCTCTCTGAGCTTCAGTTTCCCTTTCTGTCAATGGGGACAGCACTAGAACCCTTTTCTCAGCATAGGAAGATGAACTCAGCCCAGAGAAGGGAGGCGAAGAGAGCCAGGCCCAGCCCTAAGCAAGAGGTCAGGCCTCTGTAGCTTTTGCCATCTGTTTTTACACTGCAGAGCAGATATGAGAAGATTCCAAAAGCCATCAAGTTTTCTGTTCTTCAAAAGGTCAAGGTTTATCCCAGGAACTCTCCTCCTTCTCTCCCATACCTCAATAGAAAATCAATATGGAAATCTAGAATCTAAAGTTGATGGTGCCTTCTCCTCCCACTCTAGGAACTTCCTAGCTCAGTCTCAGGCTGTCTATGTCTCTCTGCCTGTTTTTCCATCTGTCTGTCCATCCCCATCTGTGGGGCAGTCCAAAATGAATGTACTTCCTCCCTCATCCTCACCCTCACCCCCATCCTTCATCCAACAGTTAAGCACCACCATTTGCAGAGCATCATGAAGCAGAATCAGGGTAGTTGGAAGGGAGAGACAAGAAGAAGGGAGAATAGAAAGAAAGATCACATTGTTCTACCTGATATGTGCAAGAGGAAAATCGGGTCAAAGGCAGGAAAGTTAGACACAGCTTGAGCTTTGTGGGCTAATTGCAAAAGCTACCAAAGAAGTGGGGACTATCTGGGAAGTATGGGTGATGGGGAGCATGGAAAGGTGGTGACATTTCAGTCGGGGTCCCTGGAGTCCTGGAGAGACCCAGGCATAGGTGCAACTGTTTGACCAGCATTTGGCAGTTACACTGGCCACAGGAGGCTGTGGCTTAGAGCCCCACAGCCGAGAACTCCCAAACTAGAGCCCCAGGATGTGGAAGGATGTTGGTGTTAGGCGATAGATGGTGGGAGCTGGCCTCCTCCGGTCCCAGCCCTGACCTCTGCCATCCACTTCCCGAAGCCCACCTCAAACGTGAGATAGTGCTCCTTCAGCCGGTGCTCCTCCGCCTCCTTGGACTTGAGGCCTCTCTCCATTGGGTGACACCTGTGCTCAGCCAGCTCTGCCGTTACCTGCCTCAACTTATTCTCATGAGACCGCAGCTGCTCCTCCTACAAAGACAAGCCCTAGCCTGAGAGGTCTGACATTCAGGGTGTCACAGAGGTGGATCTAACCCCATCCCATTGCGAGTTTTTGCCAAAAGGAATTGATGCTGGTCAGGGTCCTCAAGTTCATTGGTGCAGAGCCAGGCTGTGGACCAGAATGTTCCTCCTAGCTTCCTCCTTCCTCTTAGGTGCCCCCACAGGCTCAGGAGATAGGAAAGTTCACATTTACATATACACACTATGAAACACACACAACCCAGGATACTCTGGAGTAGAATTTCCACATGCACACTCTGGGCCCCAGCTATGCCCGGCTTTGCATTCACATTGTCTTACATTCATTCATTTTCAGATGTACATGACAGATCCAGATCACACCCAAAGGTAGACCAAGACATTGTCACTGACAGACCAGTGCACATACATCCCACTCACCACAGTGCAAGAAGCCCCTTTGTGCAGTGTATACACATGGATGTGTGGACATACCTGTGCAGAAAGCATATAGGTGTGCACACATACATATGTGTGCCTGTGCAATATGTATATGTACATGGTGTGGCTGTGTTCACTATGCACATACACAAGGGCACCACACAGATGTAGAATACCCTGGAGCTCTGTGGAGAGACGAAGATCCTAACAGGAAAGGGGCCAACAACTGAAGACAGGAAGTTTGGAGCTTACCAGCCCTCGGTTCTCAAGTTCCAGCCCACTATTTATCCTTTCCTCTCCAAAAATAACCTGAAAACCTGTAATATTGATAAGATGGGAGGTTGTAGGATTATAAATAAAATATTTAAAAATAAATTAGAATGTCAAAAGGACACTGGACGTTATCAAAAAAGTAAAAACTAACAAATGCTGGCGAACACTGAAGGAAATTGAATCCTTATATACCGTAGATGGGAATGTAAATTACTACATTCACTCTGGAAATTAGTATGGATGGAGGTTCCTCAGAGAGAGAGAGAGAGAGAGAGAGAGAGAGAGAGAGACTAAAAATAAACCAGGTATGGTGGCACACGCCCTTAATCCTAGCACTCAGGAAGCAGAGGAAGGCAGATCTCTGTGAGATTGAGGCCAGTCTGATCTACATATTGAGTTCCAGGGAGACCCCGTCTCAAACAAACTAACTAAAAAGAGAGGGGGCTGGGATGATATCTCAGCATGTAAAGTGTC